ATGACGGTAAATATTATTATTTTATACAAAAGAAATATTTCATACAAAGCTATAATGAAAATTTTATACAGGACCCACTCCATGTGTGTGATTAACCCTTTACAATCAAGCTTCTCAACTAATAAACCTGACCCCTATGTTCTCTTCACTCGTTTAGTTCAACCCTACATTAATAACTATTCTCAAATCCCAAGGGTTTTCCTATCATGAACAAAATTTATGTTGGATCCTCACACTTTTATCAGGCTCCTCCAACTATAAAGAACCAATTACTATCTATAAGAAAAATCGTAGGAAGATATATGAGTTGATATTTCTGTGAATGAAAAATTTCAAAATAGTTATACTTTGTCGTTTATACATATTTATCGAAAATCGAGTTCGTATTATATGCTGAACAAGGAGGTTGAGGTTTTTCGGATTGAATAAGTCGTGAAAGAAGCAAATGAGTCTTACAGGTTCCATTGAAAAGAAATGGTTTCTTAAAGATCAGCTTTTCCCTCATGGCAGTTGTGTTTCCCTTTAGTTCGATTAGTAGGCCACCATACTGCATAAAATAGAGCTGGCGGAAAAAGCGAGCTTCAGCGAGAAGCAAGTGGAACTGTTTTGCCCAAGCTTTGAACTTCTTATATGTTTAACAGTTCACACTATAACATCGGATATTAATAATCAAGACAGGAATCATTCTCGTAATCATGATATAATCATCAACTGAAATCTATACCATCATCTCTTCACATCAAATGTATAAGGAAATCTACTAAAGATGTACCCTTTGACTGAAATCTAATCTTGTCATACGCGCGTAGACTGCCCCTTTGGCTAAGCACTCTCGACACGAGCCTCGAGCTCTCTCAGTGAACGGAAGTAGTCTCAATCATAAACAGTTCTAGAATACGGCCAATGCCCCTAAGTGAACTATATATATACGGTCAAGACCCCTATTCATCCACAGTCATGATCCCTCAGTGTAGTATAGAACACGACCAAGGCTTCTCAATAAACTAGAAAAAGTATATAATCATGGATACTTTTCTGGTCGATCTCAATATCACA